GATGGTGCACTTGCCGCGTGGCAGCTAATACCTGAACCCTCATTTCATGTGCGCCCGCTCAATGATTGTGTACTTCCCTCATGTCTACTCACTCTTAGACCTCTCCTCTCACGCGCGCCCGCTCGAATATCGTACGGCAACTCACACCTTGACGTCTCATCCCACGCGCACCCGCTCGAGGATCACGCACTTCTCGCGTTCCCAGGCCCCCAAAACGTTGCAAGATGCCTCCGAAGGGGCCAGAAATGCCGCAAGAGGACTCCACGCAAGGGCCCGGAGAAACCATACTCATTGAATTCCTGCGGTGTTCGGCGGGGTTTCGCATTCTCGCCTTTTCGGGCGGCCGTGAGCTCAAGATTGCGCAAGAAGCCTCCACGATGACCCCAAGGGAGGCTAAGAGGGCCCCAACAACGCCCTACGGCGTAATGAATATCCGAGACGGCCGCAACACTGCCTAAGACGGAGTCCCGTGGGGACCCAGGCGGCCTGGCCAGGCGTTTCGACGGCCTAAGGTGGCGCCTAGGGCCTAGGCGGCTGGCTCTACGAGGGCACCAGACATCCACCATACGGCCAGGAGGGCCCCAAGCATCAACAGATGGTAGCAAACGGAGTCCCTTCGGGATGTGTTCGATTGAGCAGATTCTAGTGATAATCGCATCAGCTCGTGAGATACGCAACCTCTCAACGGGCTCAGGGGCCCCTGAACATCAAATGGCAATGGTACAAACATATGTGGAAAAAACTGCTTGCAACACATCATGCTGTGCTGAAGCTGCTGAGCTCTGCTAATACACAAGACCACGTACACATAACTCGGTATAGCGGGGTTATATGGACACGGGCGGAACAATCTATTAAAACATATTCGCTCAAAACCGCACATTGCCACGATCAGGGGTCGCCGGAAATTTTACCAGGAAGCTCGAAACAGGAATAGGTTCGAAACAAAAACAGTCTGACTTGAATGTGGAATTCACAGGCGGTCGCGACAGCGACGTTCGTATCTCTTCAATTTGTCAGCACACCTGGCGATCGGTCTGTCTCGCCGGGTGGAAACATGCACAACGCTTGCTCCTCGGAGCACTCAAAAACGAGTAGGCCTCTGCCGACCAAGTCGCTCACGTCGGCCTTGCCGACCATCGTGCCCAACTGGCCTAACGCCAAAACGGCCGCGGGGTACCCCTTCATCCTGTCACGAACGCTCCATGAGCGCACTCGGGCAACGGCTGGAACCTCGGCGCGTTGAGATCCATGTTGTAACGACACTGCGACTGGACGAGCACGCTGCGCATCTTCTTCTGCTCCGTCGGCTCCGGGTCGGTCCAGGTCGCAGTCGTCGTGACTTTGATGGGCGCTGGCTCCGCCTCGGGCTCGCGCGCCCTCTCGATCTTCGCGTCGTGCTCGAGCTGCGTGGTCCAGCGCCCGCCGTGCTCCAGCACGGAACCCGCAGTAGAATGCCACATCTCATCACGAAGCCGAAAGCCATCATGGGTTGAACAGCTCGACGCCGCCGGGCGCGGTGCCACCTGGCCTTCCGCACTGCTGCCGACGCTGGCTGCCGGCGCCAGCGTCGCTCAACTCGCGCCAACATGACACTTGCCCTTGGCCGTCGCATTCTCCTTCGCCTTCGTCGCAGGCGGTGTCTCGAGGGTGTCGTGCAACGCCTCGCCAGCGTCATCCAGCTCCTTCTCGACTTGCTCCATCTCCCTCTTGGAGAGCTTCTTGCCGGCCCCGCACTCCGCGCGTAGCGCGTCTGCCATCTTCAGGCGGGCCGAGAGCTTGGCAAGTCCGTCCGCCATCTGCTGCCGCGTGTTCACCCAGTTCCAGGTGGCGCCTATCTCCGCCATCTCCCCGTTCGCGAGTTCGCGATCTCCACCTCGACGCCGCCCACTTCTTCGAGATGCCCGCGCCTGCCGTCGCTGAGCGCGACGCGTCGTAGAGGCGCGTCGCGTCCGCGATGAACAGCGGCTCTCCCAGGTGCACCAACGCTTCTTCGAGCCCCAGGTCGGGTCACAAGCTCCACGCCACGTAGACCTGCATGTCGACCGTCTCAGTGGACTCCTCCAACAGCAGCGCCGCGTCGCCCACCTCATCGGCGAGCGCAGCCTCCTCGCTCTGCGGGGCGAGCTTCGCTCGCGACAGGCGGGCGCGCTTGGCCGGCGGGATGCCGTCCAGCTTCTCAGTCTCCTCGACGCTCCTCTTAGCCATCGCCTCGATGTGGAACCTGCTAGGCACCTGCGCAGCGCTGCCAGACGCGCCGGCGCTGGCCGCTGCTGGTCCGTCGTCCTCGTCCTCGCCGGCCGTCGTCGGCCGAGGGTCCGTGGCAGCTGCTCCTGTCGGGCCGTCGGTCTCGTCCGTCTCCGTGGGTGCCTGGGCGCTTTGCCGACGCTGCTCGCCCATGTCGCCCAATTGTCGCCGTGCCGGGGCAGGCGACCCTCCTCGGCGAGGTCCCGGTAGTTGCAGGTTCCCTTCGTCCGCCTGAGCACGCGCCTAAGCTTCTCGATCGTGCTGAGCGGGCTGTCGGGGCCCTCGCTGCGCCCTTCCCGTTCGCGGGCCTCGCCCGGCAGCTCGGGGCGGAGGTGCTCCGCAGTACAGCGGTCGATCTTGCGCCCGTGCGTCGCCCACGACGCCGAGGCGTGCATCGCGCTGTCCTCGTTGACCTTCGCCTCCGCTGCTAAGGCCAGAGTTGGGCCGTGCCAGTGGCGCTTCTCCAATCTTTTCTGCTCGGGTCGCCAGATGTAGACCCGCTCGCTGATCTCGTAGTTCCTCCTCGTTGGCCTGCAGCGCGCCAGCGGCGCCGCTCGCGCGGCGCGCGGGCAGTTGGCCGCAATGACGGCCGTCGCGGCGGTCGTGCTCCTGATCTTCACCTCGCGCACTGCGCCCTTGGGGTCGACCAGCGCGGCCTGCTCCGACAGGCCGAAGTCCTCGTCGCAGAGGGCGCCCAGGATCTTGAGCTGCGTCCCCAACGCTAGCGCATCGGGCGGGAACCCGCGCGCGTTCCTCAGGGCGCCCCGCTGTCTGGCGGCCATCCTGAGGGCTGAGCGAGTCGTCGGGGAACTGCAGATGGCACTTGCTGAGCTGTTCCCTCCTGACCGTGCGGTTCCGCTCCATCAGGCCTAACGGTGGCGCGCGCCTTTCGGGATCAGTCGAGCTTGACGCCGTGCTTGCTCATCCAGTCGCGCGCGCTTGGCCGCGCGCGAGCCCCCCCGTGTCCATGCGCATCGCCTCCGGCTTGCCGGCCAAGCTGATCCAGAGTTTCTCCCGCAGCCTCGTCTCCTTTAGGAACGTCTCATTGGAGATCGGATAGTCGACCTTGCAGCGTGCAAATTCACCCACAATGGCCATGCAGGACACCCTTCTCCTCCTTCTACCACGCGATGTAGTTCACGCCGGTGCAAACCACCTCGTTGAACTTCCTGGCCCTCGGCAGCGCTGCGACGCGAACCGCTCGGAGCTTTCGCATTCCTAAGCAGATCTCACGCTGGAAGCGCCCGGCGCACTGGGCCCGCTCTGCCAAGGCGCCCGCGCGCTGCATGGCGACCGCCAGCGCTGCGTTCGAAGGGTGGCCAAGGCTGGCACGTGCACGCTTGACTGCTTGGACCGTCGACGCGCGGAACCGATTCATCAGCCCCTGCATAATGTCGGTGTACTCGATGGCGTCGTTGTCCTTGTAGGACCTCCTCGGCCGCGTCAATGTCGCCGACGTCGTCGGCCCTGCCCTGGTCGGCGATCAAATGGGCCATCCCCCTGGCCATCGGCATCGGATAATTCTGAGCCTGCTGGGCGAGCTTGCCCCGCGGGTCATGTGCTTAATGAACTTATTGATGGTCGACTGCAGTCTCGTGGGCTTCCGGCTTCTGGCATGGCATGCCCTCGCCCTGGATATTGTGCTTTGCCCCTGGTCTGCGCTGATCGAGCCTGCAATGGTACCTTGGCGACTTCCAAGTCTACGTCCGCCAATGTGGCCTCTGCCGCGGGCCTTCTACATGCGCGAGTCGGCTTCCGTTCGGCTGCTTCAAAAATGCCGTCAGACATATCGGGAGAAACGCCCGTTCTTCTCGCCCCCTGGCGCCGCTGGAGATCGCCTCGTTCACGCGCTGCCGGGGGCGCCGGTGCTTGCGCGGGGGGGCGAAGAAGATGTCGCCGGGCTCGTCTATGTCGACCTTGTCCGGGAAGTCGCGGGCCACGGCGGGCCTGGAGAAGCCCCGGCCGACCTCGACCCTGGACTGGATCACCTCGATCTGCGGAAACTCGAGAAGCTCCTGCGACAAAGCCCCTTGGTCCACGAAGACCTCCCAGACCAGCCGCTCGCGCGGCCCGCGCTGCGCGTCCTTCATGTCGGACGCCGCCTGCGACAGCGCTAAGACCAGGTCCGAGTGGGTGTCCGCGTCCATCGGGTGGCGCTTCGGGCCCATGACCTCTTCCGCGGTTGGGGTCTCGTCGTCGCCGCCGTTCTCGCAGAACTCCGTCCGCGTCTCCAGGTGAAAGGCGTCGGTGTTGGGTGCCGACGAGGCCCCGTCGTCGCCGTCGTCGTCCTTGACCGAATCTCCTTCGGTGTCTCTGTCCGTCGAGTCGCTGCTGCTTTCGTCGCAGTCTGCGGAGGCCCCCTCGCCTATGGCATCGTCGGCGTCGCGCCCAGCTCCGCCCGACAGATCGATGATAAAATGACCCCCCCATCGTCGCGCTCGGACTTCATCCAGCCTTTGCCGGGGGGGCCCTTCACCGCGAACGTTCCAGCTGGGTCGTCCTGGACCAAGCGCCACTCTTTCACGCAGGGACGCGCGATCAGCAGCGGCGCCCAGCCCTCGGCGAGATGGATCATGATCTGCTTCTTGGCGCCGAAAGGCCGCGCCGTCAATGCCACCCCTTGCTTAGCCTCCAGCGCCTTGCCGTCTCCGAATCGGAGGCGTCGATTACTCTTGCTGCGCTCGACCTCGCGCAGTAACTGCCTCGAACGGAATAGCTCTCCCCAGCGCGCCCGCGCCTCGTCGCCCCTGAAGGGCCGCGCGCCGCCTCCATCTCTCATGCCATCGCACCCGACGCGGTCGACCCCGCGGATGATGATGGCGTAATTACCCTTGCCGAGCGCTCCCTTCTGAGGGCGGAAGGGTCGCCGTCTTGGTGGGCAAAATCCTTTGCCGCGTCTTCTACCTTTGCCGCGTCCTTTGCCTTCTGCCAGAGTCTGGGCCCGTCGCTCTCGCGGGCCCTGCGCGGCCGTCGCGTTGGCAATTGTTCTCGGATGCGAGGGCGACGATCGGGTACGAACCTCCGGGCCCGGCGATCTCCGCCGCGCGTTTCTCCGCGCCCGCGAAGCTGAGGTAGGCCTCGTCGCGCGCCACTTGGGTCACCTCGACCTCCTGCGGCAGTTCCTCTTCCTCCTCCAGGTACGTGTCTTCGTAGCCCAGGCCTCTCTCCCGCTCGAAATCGCTCACGTAGTTCGCATCGTTCTGCAAGCTCTGACTGACCAACATCTTCTCCACTCGTTTCACGTCGCGCCTGTCGGGCATAGCTTCGGCCCCGCATGCGTCGAGAAGGTTTTTTTTTCACTTTCGCCCAGCAGAGGCCGTTCACGCATTGACTACGAACCTGGGCGGCGCCCGATGGGGGAACAGGCGCTCGCGTGAAGAGGTGCCAGCCCGCCAGCATATCTGGGATCTCCATCACAACCTCCTTGAGCTCCCTGAGCTCTCCCTTGTGGCGAAGACAATACAGTTTCATCGTCTCCTTCTCCAGGCGAGCAAACTTGCCGAAGAAAAGATCTGTGCGGGCTGGCGACTCAGTCTGGCGGTCGTGCTTGTAGCACTCGTCCAACACCTGGAACAACGGCCTGAAAACCTCTTCTGTCTCTAATAGATCCCCGTCGATATCCTCCGTAGCCGGCGCGGCCTCACCCTGCAGCGAGTTTATGACAAAACACGTTCCCTCGCTGACTTCGGTGGTGCCGCGCTTCCTGCAGCAACGCTCGAAGACCTCCAGCTTGCGTCGACATAATCGATAGCCATCGGTCCTCAGCAACTCGTAGCTCGGCGAGGTGTTGGACAGGCCTGCGTCTAGGCCTCGCCTTCCTCCGTCCCAGGTGGAGCTCTCCTGTCGGGCCCGGCAGCCCTGCGAGCCATTGCACTCCGTGTAGGAAGCCTCGGCGCTATCCGCGCTGCTCGGCGAGACGCGGCTGCCCTCCGCGCTGGCGTCGGCGGATGCGGCGGCAGATGCTGCTGGCGGGCCGCCAGGCGGTGGTTTGGCCGGGTGCGGCGCGCGAGGCGCGCCGTCTGGCATGGCGGCGACGGAGGAACCGGACAAAGTGGATCTCCGGCCCCGCTACAAATATCAACCGATGGCAGCACACGAAGTCTCCGCGGGATGTGCTCGATAAACAGATTACCTTGATAATCGTATCAGCACGTGAGATATGCAACCTTTTACCTGACTCGGGGGCCCCATAAACATCAAAGGGCACTGGTACAGACATACGTGAAACAACTGCTTGCAACACATCCGGCTATGCTGAAACTGCTTAGCTGTGCTAGTACACAAGACCACGTACACATAATTCGGCATCACGAGGTTATTTTGACACCAGGAGGGCTCCAGAGAGCTCCAAAACGGCCCAACGCGTCTCCAAGATGCCACCAAAACGGCCGTACAGGCCCCCAAGAGGGTGACCAGATGATTCGAAAGGACCGCACGACGACCCCAAGCCAGCCCACGAAAGCCTCAAGAGAGACCCACAACGGCTTTAAAAGGCCCTTGAGGAACCCAAGACGGCGCCAAGACGACCCCACGACGGCCCCCCAGACATCCGCCATACAGCCAAGAAAATTCCAAGACGGCACAAAAAAGCCCCGAGATGGCCAACGGCAATCGCAAGGCGGCCGAAGAAAGCCCCGAGACGGACTCAAGGGACCTCTGGGAGGCCAAGGCAGCCCAAGAAAAACCCAAATGAGTTCCATGAGAGCTCCTCAAGAAGTGAAGACGAACAGTGCCAGATGTGACGGTATTCCTCTTCCTGGCCGTCGTCCTTCTCCTGCTCCTGTTGCTGCTGCTGCTCATGGCGGTCATGTCTGCTTCTGCCCCCTCCTCCTCCTCCTCCTCCTCAAACTCGTCATCGTCATCATCCTCATCATCCTCACCATCATCAACAACATAACTCTTCCAAGCCGTGACGGCCACCCGCGCTCCTCGAACAGTCGCCAGCCAAAATGCTGGGCTGGCACGGACTGGGACTTGCTACAGCCAGCTCGATGAGGTCAATGCCTCCGGACCTAACTGCACGGAGTCACCATGGAGGTCAACTAGTGCACAACATACAGTTCTCGCGGCGAAGACTCATGTCTGCATCTTGAATACAACAACGCTGGAAGGACGCATGCGCCAAGCGCGCTTAACAACGTGCGACGATAGACAACTACCGATTGAGACAGAATGCGCCTTCCTTGTAGACGGTCTTGCCCCCCGAAGATGACGAAAAACTCATAGAAGAGAAGCTCATGCTGGCTCCGCCACCTTCGAATGGGCAGGTAAACTGCGACAAGGGCGGTGCTAAACGACTCCGGCGAACTCAATCCTCGCCTGGAAACGCAAACGCCACCTAATTGGGACAACTGGGATGAAAATCCAACGGCCCCCTTGGGGGCGATAGACCGTGACGACTCTTCCAGGACCGCTGCTTCGCTGGTGTATGAAATCTTCTGTCTCGCATGTTCTCTTGTTGGCTGTCTCCTGTCTGTGCAGTCCTCTCTCCTTTCTGTTGTCCACCTAGTGGGCCCGCTGCCTCACGGAGGCCACTGTGGCCGCCGCAGCTCCCTGATCAGACGACCACGAGGACCCACGAAATCTTCAGAAGGCCCCGAAGAGGGCCCTAGAAGTATCAAAACCCCAAGATGGCCGAAGAGGGCCCCAAGATACCTCTAAGGTGGCCACCAGTGTCCCCACCATCCTGGGCGATTTCGGGCCGTTCTTCTGTTGGTGTCTAAGTAAGCTTTGCCTCAGGGAGGGAACGAGGAAGGGGAGGAGGAGGAAGTAGGAGAGTTGTGGAGGTAGGATGGGGAGGTCGGAGGAAGCGGATGTGGACGAGGAGGAGGCCTCTCCTCCAGAGGATGATGTGGATGCGAATGAAGAAGTCCGCCTTCTTTCTCCTCCTCCTCCTCTCCTGTCCCAATCCGTGGATGCGCCCATCATCGGACAAGCACGGAGCCTTGCTTTGAATCGAAGCCCAGAACCTTCAGCAAACATCGAACGCAAATCACACTAGCCCGGGCGTGAGCGGATTAGAGAATGTCCTCTTCCAGCCCCTGTCCTCCCCTTCGGGGGGGAGCTTGCCCTACCCCCCATTCCTTGGACCCTGAGGGAATGTTACGCGGGCGGGTCGTTGGAGCGTCCGAAATGGCCTCGGCGGTAAAACCAAAACACATGAGGTGACTAACGTTGTGGCCACATGTGAGCCTCCGGGGGGGGACAGCGCTACTTCCACCAGCCATCTGGGCGTGAGTGTTTTAGAGAGTTTCCTCGTCCAGTCCCCCTCTTCTCCTTCGGGGGGAAGGTTGATCTGTTCCCTATTGTTAATAAGCACCCCCTCTCCCAGGCGACCGGCGGCCAACCAGGAACTTTGCAACCCTCCATCATCCCTGTCCAAAAAAATACACAACGCACTTTGCCTCCACATTTGGAGCATGCGCGGCCAACCCGATGCGCCCCCCCCGACCATCCCGATCCAAAAAACAATGCAAAATACATGTTGGGGCAAAGTGACACGGACGGCGGGGGTATCCGCATATTGCCTGCTGTGCGCAGGGCTACACTACATAACAAAAACAATGCATCGTGCACCTCGCGGCTAAACATGGATCGTGCGACGCCACCCCTGCAATCACTGTCAAGTGGTTGTTGACAGGGGCGACGGGCGTGGTGGCGTATAGCCTGCTGTGCGCAGGCCCACCAGACACAATGATGGGCATTGCTTTTCGACAAGGATGGTGGGGGCCAACATGTTTCCCGATGTGTGCTGTCAAATGCGCAGGCGCACCTGGCACACCCTGCACGTGCCCCGAACGTGGCGCACCTGGCGCGGCTGAAGTATGCAGCGCACCTGGCGCACGCGGAGCACGTGGCGCATCTGGCGCACCAGCCAGGCATACATGGCACGCTCGGGCCCCAGGGGTGCCTGGCGCGCGTGGCGCGCATGGCACGCGCGGCGCACCTCGCCCCAGCGTCGCGCACACGGGGTCGGCTTTGCTTCCCAGTAGCGTCCATCCAAAGACGACCGCTGAACATGCCGAGGTTCGGGCGTTACTTATGTGTTGGGAGGGCGGGTGAGAGTAAGCTAGACGGCTTGCTGTCTAGGGGATGTCCTGACCCGTCCGCCTACCACCACCCCCTCCCTGGAGCGGGTCGCTGGAGCGTCTAATATGGCCACGGCGAGAAGGCCAACATGACGGATGTCATCAACTGCCTGGCTATAGTGTGGTTTCTAGGGGCGGGGGAAATTACGCACGGCCCGTCCTTCGACCGATCTCCTCAAAGATGGCCCCAACATGGCCCCCGATGGCGTCCCAAGGCCTCCTCATAAGCCCCCAAGAGGCCCCCGAAAGAACCCCATTAGACCCCCGTCGAAAAGCCCCAATGGCCCCGGCGAAAAGGCCAACACCAATGATGCGACCAAGGCTTTGGCCACAGTTTGGCCTCCTGCGCCGTTCTGGCTCAAGCATTGGCCTGCGCTTGCAACTACATGCCTCCAGGACGGCCTATCGCTGTCTCGGGCCATTGTGGCGCTGGTTCGCTGATGGCGCCCCCGCACTACATTTGGAGCTGCTCGGCATCGCGACGCGTCGGCGCGGATGGCGGGCGACGCGGGCGGCCCAGACAACGGCGGAAGTCAAGGGCGGGCAAACTGCCGTGTATCCTTCAGCAAGTCCCACAGGCAGCAGTCGAAGCTCTTCATCCGAATCGGTTCCCAGCCCACGAGCCCCACGCCCATGCTGGAGCTGTCTGTCTTCCCCGCGGGGGGTAAACAGATCGCAAGCATCTCCGCGCGCACCCCCCACTTGGGGAAATCCTTGCGTCGCGGGGCCCGCATGTGGCGCGCAGCCCGTCATCGTGAATTGGCCCCCCCTTGCTGTGATCCCGCAAGTACCTCCCACGCGCGTCGGCCTCCTCCATCTGCGACTCCAGCGTGGTCCCGATGAGCCTTCATCCCACCTGGGACTCCTGACTTGGCCGTCCCCTGCATTCACTCCTGCGCGCCCAGGGCGCGCGCCGCTGCCGCGCGCGCCCTTTTCCGCAGACCTCGCTCCCGTCCAGCGAGTCGCCCGCGCAGGGCGTGCACTCCGAAGAAGTCGCGCACTCTCCACGCCCCGCCAACTCCCCAACGCGCTCTCTCGCCATCGCTCGGACGTCCATTCCCTGTGTTTGATGATCAAGGATGCTCCTCGATGGTCCTCGCCGAGAAAAAATGCACATGTCCGAGCGATGCCAAGCTCAAGGAACATATGCTGAGGGTGTCGCTCGCGGCGCTCCTTGCGCTCCCCGATGCGCCCGCGGAGCCTGGCCTCCGCGCGGCCTCGTCGCCATCGAGTCCTGCGCGGCATACGTGGCGTCCGCGCTGCCGCGATCGCCAACAGCCGATCCCGCCCATGTGCTTTTTGATCGTAATATCCACCCGATCGACCTGAGATCAAGATGGCGAGCACGAGTAAGACCGAAGATGGGGGGAACAAATATTAGAGCTCTAACGAATGGCTGAATTTCGAGAAACTGATTTCTAACCGACCGAAATTATGTACAGCAAAACGCGATGCGATTGACCCCGAGGCTGCGCCCCGTTCTCGGGGGACCGGCTCGGGGTTGGCGTTCTGGGCGGACGCCGTCGCCTGCCGTGCGCCCACGGCCCCGATGCCAGCAACACCCGATGCGACTGAGCCCGTGGCAGCGTCCATCTCGCGAGGGACTGGCACGGGACTCGTACCTCCTCTTCGATGCGGTGCTCCTAACTCGTCCGCAGCTTGAGCTCTCTCCTCCAAGGCGCGTGCGCATTCGCCGCGTAAGTGGTCATACTCACGTCCGGTCTGCAAGTTTGGTGGGAAGACCTCCGTGACGGCCGTGTCCGCCCACCACCTCAGTGACGGCACGTGTCGGGACGCGTGATGCCGCCCGTACCTGCCCGCCACTTCGTCATTCATGTCGTACCCCAGCTGCTCATTGATTCGGAATGTATCCCAGAATGCGCGTCGAAACAACGTCTCTCTCGTCGTACGTCCCCGAAGAGGGACCCGTAAAACCGAAGATCGTCAGGGGCGTACTGGCCGTCGCTATCTTCAATCCTCAAACTCTGCCAGTGACGCACAGCGACGGCGGGGGAATACACACCTGTCGAATATGCGCATTGTGGATCGTGCGACCCACCATCATCGTGATCCCACAACTCTTGTTCGTGAGCCTTCCCCGCCGCCACCCCCAGTTGATTGTCACATGGCTACGGGTGCGGGTCGCGGTGACGAGAATCTCTGGGTCCGCGCGCTGCTGGGCCCCTGGCAGTACGGTCGGGCCGATCATCATCGCCTCCGACACCAGCTCCGCACTCCATGGCGGCAAGCCCAAACGGTTATACAGCCCGACTTCATTGGACAGGACAAAACTACACTCAACAAGTGTTCAAAAATGGTAAGACAGTCGCCCCCGGACTATCTTTTGACTGGAGAGGACACGCGAGAGGGCACAAGACCCTTCCGAGGGCCACGTTGCAACAAGAATGCAAGAAGCATGGGTCGCGAGACACGGGACACAGGGGTACCCTTGATTTGGCAGGGTCGACCTACAAATCCGGGCCGACTGTAGGGCAGGGCGGGGTGAAGGATAGAAACGAAGTCCGACCGAGAAGGGAAGGACGTAGCACCCCGCGACTGCGGATGAGAGAGAGCGGCTGGGCGCAGGTGGGCAACGGGGGAGTCGCGGGTGGGTCGCGAAGTCGGTCGCGGGGAATGTCGGCGATGGGCAAACCTCCCTTTAGCAAACCTCCCCTTAGTGAAAACGGCCTGGGGCCGAAACCGACGGACCTGGACCCGCAAAAATACGGCCGCGACGCCCTCTCGCGAATCGAAAACAGCCAATTCGCTAAACGACGTGTCAGGGTAGGAGGTCTGTCCACCCCCGACTCCAGCCCCTCTCTGCGCGTGGCCGAGGGCAAGGAGGAGGGCGAGGAGGAGGAGGCGCCCGACGAGCGGCTCCCCGTGCCGCACCGCCCCCCGGACGGGCGCTGATGCTGAATTTGACCTCCCGAGAGTTGCACGAGGAGATGGACGAGGAGGAGGAGAGGAGAAGGACGAGGAGGAGGAGGACGAGGAGGAGGAGGAGGAGGAGGACGAGGAGAAGGCCGAGGAGGAGGAGGAGGAGGAGGGCGAGGAGGAGGAGAAGGAGGAGGAGGAGAGGAGGAGGAGGACGAGGAGGAGGAGGACGGGGTGGGTCGCGGGGTGGGTCGCGGGGGGGACGACGACAACAAACAAACAGTACGC